ATTTAATTTATATTATATTTACTAATTATATTTATTTATTAATTAATTTTTAGAATTTAGCAAATAAAATTGAAGAATAAGATGCTGATGATCTTTATGATTTTCCTGATGAGTATCTTACATATATTTCAAATAATAATTAGTAGAAGGATCTTAAGCAACTAGAAATGATTATGCTTTCTTATTGTGCTACATTAAATCAGCTACAACGTCATAATTCCCAATTGCATGAAGTTATTTATAGTTTTGGAAATATAGTTACAGTTTTACGATCTCTTACTAATAATAATTTGAGTAAAAGGCTTTTAAAAAGATTAGAAAAAAGATGGGCTGATTGGGAACAACTACTATTACTTTTATCATTTTTACTTCATCTTAAATATCATACAGACAAGTTTAATCCTGCTATTAAAAATCTTTCTTTTCCTTATCTTGATCAGTGAGTTACTTATTATTACTATGCCTGGTTTAATGAAAAATCAACAACACTATTGGTTGAATTAGAAGCATATAGAAAAAAAAAGTATTCATATAATGATGCTACTGTACATCAATTTGATCAAGATATTTTAGGATTTTGGAATTATGTACATGGATATTCAAAAGAACTTTATTGTGTAGCAGAACGAATTTTTTCAATTGCATCTTTAGAAAGGTATTTTTCTACAATAGGATGGTTGCATTCAAAACGACGAAATTGATTAAGAGTAAGAATTTTTTTATTTTTATTTTTATAGATTAATAAATAATATATTAACAATTTATAATTTAATATTAGTCTAAAAAGGTACTTAGTATGACACAAATACGAGCTTCTATACAGCAAAAATTAAAATTTAAAAAATAGATGAGGAGGCACGCAAGTTTAAAACTACAAATATAGCATTATCTATATTAACTGATATTAATGATGATATTGAATATAATATACCTAATGTATCAGAGGATGAATTATCTGATGAGGAAAATAATGATGGTAATGTACAAATAGTGAGAGATTGGCAAACTATATTTTCAAGATGAATAAATATATTAGAAAATGATACAGATTCAGAAGAATTAGAAGATACTGATATTGATTATGAAGATGATGAGGATGATATTTCTATAACTAATATTTTTAATTTACCTCATCCTGCTATAGATAAAAATGCTAAATGGAAACTTCAAGATATTTTTATCGAAAATTTAGGAATACCTGACTATTTGGCGAATTTTATTAATAGTAATAGTTAGTTAATATTGATTAATGGTTTAATGCATAGTATAAATACAGTAATATGTGTCTTATTATTATAATATATAATAAATTTATAAATTTATAACATAAAAGTAAATTTATCATTAAATTAATAAAATATTATTAAATGGAATTAAGTATAAGTCCAATAGTCCAATAAAATTTGAAATTGGATTGGACAAAGTCCAATAGTCCAATAGTCCAAAAGGCCATCACTGCTGACCGGCTATATAATAAAATTTTAACTAATTAAAGTTTATATATTATATATTAAATATCCTAATTTTGATTAAAAAGTTTCAGAACTCTATTTTCTTAGATCCAACCTATATTTTACCATCTGCACTACCATCTTGACCTCATAAATATGCACATGAGATTGTGCTGAAAAATCTCCATCAGGTGCAACTTCTGGATGATCATGGTTAATGAAATATACATTATGTTGAGCACCACGCACTTTTGGATATTTAGCGGTATTTTTAGCATCAATTAAATCTGGATAAAGTGTACTGTATATCTAATCAAATCAGAAATTTCATTCTTTCTCATAGGTCTCTGAGTTGAAACTTGAACTTCTCAATCTTTATCACTTTATCACCATTAACTAATAATTTTTCCTAAAGTTGAATCCATACTAAGAGAATAAGTAACGATATCGACGTTTATTTGGATCTCTGACCAATATTAAATGTTGAGTTTGGAAGTCAATTCACTAAGGATATGAGCTTCAAGTACTTCACCAGCTTCCTCACAAATAATAATAACTTTAGGATTAATATGTTTAATTAAACCTTGAAATTTAGCAGCGCCATTTGTAGTCATACCAATAACATCGCGACTTAATAATGCTTGACGACGTCCTTCGTCATACATATTATTCCAATCATTGCGTCTTAAATCATACATTTTTTGTAACTCTTGACAAAGTTTCTATGAATTCCTGATTAACTTTTGTACGACAATAATCATGAAGAGTTTCGTTTCATCCTTGACATTTCCCATATTTAATAATAATTCTGATTCCTTACCACTAGTGTTCTCTTCATTTTTTTTCTGCCTGTAACAATTCGAACTTGTTTCTATATAAATTTTCCTTTGGCTTCTGATCATTCTGTTGTGGACTTAACAAAATATTCTTTCTCATCTTAATTACTTCAAAATCTTTTCAGGTTTATTATGAAATCATTTAAAAATTCTTCTTCACTGCTATAAGTTCCTAAAACCCAACTTGGTATATCCTCATTAGTCACGCTTTCAAATTTAGCATAAAATTTCGTTTCATTTTTCTTTAGATACTTTGATACATCATTCCGTTTTTGGCAAAATTGTTGTTAATTTCCTTAACGCGACTTTCGATGTCATTTAATGATTTACGTAATCCATAACCTTTTTTGCCAAAAGAATTAAATTTACAAATCTCTTCTAGAGAACCTAACCTAATGATATTTTTATATTTGTGTCAAGTAAATGCTGTGTGTTGTTCCGTTACTGCCTTACAAATAATAAAAAAAAAATTTTCTTAATAACTATTTACCTATTTCCTATTTCATTCAAATCGGATTATCATCCGATCTGCCAATAAAATGCCAATACGATCTGAATCTGATTTATCCAACGGATGACGGATATCCGAATTTAGAACGGATAAACCGTTGACGGATTGGAACTTTATTCTGATGTATTTATTCAGTATTAAAATCAAACTCTTTAATAAAAATAAATGCCTTTTCATTAACTTTTTTGTTCCTTTCCTTTTTTATTTTGTGATTTAAACAAGTCTTTAACAAACCTACCAGACTCTCAAAAGTTTGTTTTCATATACAAGTTTTTCTAGTAGTATCTAAAAAAAAGTTATGTTTCTCTAATCTTGTAACTCTTCCCACATAATTGCAAGCATATCACAATCATGTTTTTTTGTGATCAGCTCTCCACCCTTAACTTCATTTGACCGGCGCACACCAGTGATGTCAGCATAACAAGGGGTAAATTATTATTTCCATTAATTCTAACCAAGAAATTAACACTACGCAAATCTCCATGAACCCAGTCACACTCATGAAGATGCTTAACAATGTCATTAATCTTGCTTTTAACTTCATCAACAGATGGAAAGCTGCGAGAACATGGATCATATGTGAAGTATGCATTCAGATCTATGATTATCATTAACCATCCACCAGGAATATGTTCACAACTGTGAAGATGAGGTGCATAAGCTTTGTTAGTACAATGATTGTGAGCATCTGCTGAGTATTGATGAACAAATTTGATGCAAATGTTTTTATCCATGTCATTTTTAGCAAAGAAAATCAACTTTTCCTTTATGGGTTGCAACACATATTTAAAATAAACAGTTGTATCTCCCCTTTGTAATTCCACTTATATGGAAACTCTGGATTTTGTAGGGTTTGTAACAATTGTGCAGGGAATTCATTCTCATAATACATTTTCAGGTTATGAATAGCCTTCATAAAGGCAGTAAAAGTGCGTGCTGCCATAATTCACAAATCTTTCTCATAAGGATTCCAAGCAAGGGGAAACATAGGAGTTAATGGGTCCATATGAACTTTTTTTGGACATGTTGACCCAGAAAAGCCGTAGATCCTAAAAAAATTTTCATGTGTGCTTACTATAAAGTATTGATTACATTTACATGTATACAAAGCTACTTACCAGCAAAATAAATGTGTAAACAAACCCAGGGTATTTCATTGCATTCTCACGCACCATATTTAAATAATAGATAGTTGTTAGAAATAAAGGTTCTCCACCTGAACCGAGTTTAACTTTGGCTTCCACATTAGCATAATAATATTTGCCTGCTATTAAAGATCCATATGTTGTATAACGATTCTTAATTTCACATGCAATGAAAGTCAGTTTACAGTAGTCTGTTATAAGTTCACGAAACACCTCTGCACGTTCTCTCTCACTATTATAGAACATAGACATATAGTATGATAGTTTCAAAATAAACAGAAAATCTTCTGAAGCGGGCCTTCCATCTTTACAATCATCCACAAATTGACCAAAGATTGGGTGCATCAATATAACTGTGTAGAAGAGGCACCTGGAGGCTGATGACACAAGATTGGTTGTTCATATTTTTTCTGCAGATCAGCAAATGTTTCAAAATTGAAGGACGCATGTGCTTGGGGAGTTCATCATCAAAGAATCGGTCGTTTGCTTTCAGCGAATGCATTAACGTCACCATCATATGATCTTCTTTTCTCATGAGATTTTAAGTTCTCGCCTTGCAAAATACCAATTATAAGTTAGTTTAAGTTGTAAAAAGTATACCAAATAAATAAATAAACGAAATATAATGAACAAAAAATAAATTTTTTTTTTTTTACGCATACCTTTTTCTTCACCAAATTTCAATAATTGCATTCTGCAACTTCGCTGCTTACTTCCATTTGTCAACTTTGTCCTCTTTTAACTCCTTTTATTCCTCTAACATGTCTCGCTGTCTTTTCCACACTTGCCTCTGCTCCTCATTTTTTTCTTCTCTATGTTCCAACTTCTTCCCCAACTCCCATAATTTCTTTTCTTTCCACCTCTTTTCGAATTCCTCTAACTTCTCCTCCGCCTTATTCAATCTATCCCTCGCATTGTTTACTTCTTTTTCGATTATTTCGAATGTTGCCATTTTTTAAAAAAAAATTGTATTTTAAAAAAATTTTTTTGTTTGATTTAGTTAATTTTGATAATCCAGACAGTCAGTTTAAAGGTTAACTTTATGAATAATTTTTTTGTATAAAAAGACCATTCAGATTAAAACTAAAGATTTGACAGTAAAATTTCTATTTAACAAGGTTCTCTAAGTTCCATTTTGGGTGAGCGTCAAATAAAAATAGAGCAAGTGGTGATGATCAATTAAAAAAAAAATCTTTTTTTGATTTTTAAAATTGGTAAAAACTCAGGTAAGCTCAGAATTTAAAATCGGTTTTAGAACCTGAGTATCTCTTTTTGAACCATCCATAATTCTAACCTGCGGACGTTCTTTTCTATAGAATGTTAATGAAATAGATGTTTAGAACTATTATTATGCTTCAGATGTTAATTGGCGTCAGATGTCCATTATTGTAATGTCTGGCCAGCTCTTCGATAATTTTATATTTGTGTCCCATCGATATCAATAATGCAGAGTAGTATTTTAGTAGTAAGTTAATTAGAACTTGAATAAGACTCTTAGAATCATGTATAAAATAAATGCTTACACTATCTCATGTCTTTATAAATTTCTTAAATTTCTTGTGAATATCTTGCAACAACGCAAATCTAATCATTTTGTAGCGAATAATTATTCTGAGTAATTATAACAAAATAAGACTTAAAGATGCTAACAAGGACGATAGCAAAAAGGCAAAGGCTGTTTAGTTGTCACTAAAAAATCGACTCGAATTTTTTAAATTATGGTTGATTTTATTTTTTTACGAATGATATTTATTAACATTAATAGCTTAATCTCATTATAACAACAACCATTTTAACTAATACATGAATAATAACAAAAAATTATGATGCTCAATACTAATATTAATAATTGACTCAATGAAAAATATTGATTGAAATTTTTAATATCATAAGACCTGATTATATATATTTCAAATGTGATTAAAAATTATATTAACGTTGAAAATTAATTTTTGTTGTACATAAAAAAATTTTTTTTAAAAAAAAAATAAATAAATAATCGAATATAAAATATTATACGCAAATAAATACCATTATTGCTTTGATCTTTAGTTTTAAGCTCATCTATTTTTCGCTTATTTGAAGAATTTAACGTTAAAGTAAATGTATTTAATGGCATAATAACATAATGTTGAGTAACTGAAGCATTTTGAATATTATTTATGTCAAACTCCTGATCTCTTGAAATGTATTCTAAAAAAATAAGTTTAAATAATTAATTATAGTAATATCAAACAAAGTCAAAATAAAATAATTTAAAGAAATTAATAATCTTTAAATTAATTCAAACAAAGTCAAAATAAATAATTAATAATTTTAAAGCATACCTTCACTTTTCAACGATTGACAAATAGATGAGGATTTAATGGTCATAGAGCTTAATGCCCTGCTCGTGTAAATTGCTTTTGGATGTGGTTTTTCACTAAATATGGGACCAAGTTTCATTGTTTGAATTAATTCCAATCACTTTTTTTCAGATTGTTTAAATTGTTCAGCACTTTCGTTTTCGAGATTCTTTCGACAAACAATTTTAATAACCTCTGTTATAAGTGGTCATTTTGAAGGAAAGGATCAGGATCCCAACACATTTTCATTAAATTCGCATAGCATTCAGGAGTATCTTGAGTAATTTCAGGCTGTTTTCCATCAATAATTGCGTAAATAGATCGGTATCATATTCAATATTATCAAAAGGTTTACGACCCGTTATTAATTCTCACATAGTCACCCAAACTATAAATATCAGATTCTTTTGAAAACTTAACACCCTTAAATACTTCAGGTGATATATAAGGTATAACACCATATATTTCATTGTTTAGCGAGACATCTGCGGGTTGTGATAATCCTAGATCTCCAATGCACCATTCTTCACATCCCCTATACCACTCTTCAAACGAATGAGTTGATGATAACAATATATTTCCACTATGAATATCTCGATGTATAATATTGTTTTCGTGAATATCACAAAGTCTAAAAGTATATATATATTTAGTATATTAATTAAATATTTATTCAACATTAAAATTGTATTAAAAATATAAGTACCCTTGTGAAATATCACGTAAAATACGTAATTTATCATCCCATGTAATATCTTTAAAATTTTCTTGCAAATAATTATGCAAACTCCTTTGTCTCGGGATCTTGTGTAACTCCATAGCATCGAATAACATTTTGAAATAATCTCAAATTGTCGTTGCAATGATATAACGAATTTAACTAAAATGATTATAAAAGCAAAAAAATTCAATATATGAAGTAAAAATGTCATATAAAAGTAATATTAAATAATTACCTCATTCAAAAAAGTTTTGCTGATAGTTTGAGAGTGTAAGATTCTTTTTATCGCAACAACTTCACTTTTATTATTATAAGGATTGAATCTAGTTGTTCGATAAACTATGTCAAATCCTCCATCTGCTATTTTTTCTAAATTTGTAATTTGAGAATATGGAATCCATTCCTTTGGTTGAAAATCATAAATATTAAATCTAACGAAATTATGAATTTCACGATTATTAATTAGATGATTAGCAATTTTGCAACTGCTAAAAAATTTTGTATTATAGACAAACTCATCTATAATAGTATTTCCACTGACAAACTTTGAGACATCAATATTGATTGATACTTATCTCTGGCATTTCCTACACTGAGATTTATCGGTAATTCTAATTATAATATTTGTCGTTAAGCAATATCTACATCCGATATATATTATAAAACAATATGAACACTACTTTTGACAATCTGTTGCAACATGTAGTCCTTTATTACAAATTATGCAAGAACTACTGGCATCCCACCATGGCAAATAAAATATCTGAATTAATTTATTAATAATAAATGTTGATTCTGTCCATCCATTAGAAATTAAGTAACAATTATGGCATGTTCGACTATCAGATAAACATTTTCCACATAGAGGACATGTAATGACTTGATTTCGATATTCTCGGTTTTTTAGAATTTCTACTAAATTTTTTCTAAAAATAATTTGTCTAAATGATAAAATTTCCGAGCAATTTAAACACCACTCTTGAATATTATACGTCAAAAAATCTGAATTCCTTGGTTTATGCACATCACACTGAGTATTATTTGTACCTATACAAATATATCATTATCGGTTAAATACTTAGTGTACCTAGTTAAGCAACTTTTACAATAATTGTAACGATCATCAATTGTCCTAGAAAATTCGAGTCCACAATAATTGCAACTGACGTCATTTCTATTAAATGAAATAAACAAGATTTGCATAGGGCTAGATATTAAATTTGGAGTTGGGTCAAATGTCCCATTTTTCGTAAGTTCCATTTTGTTATTTGAAAAATATAAATATATAAACATTTCTGACCTTATATCAATTTATAATTTTTATTTCGGAGTTAAAGGTCCTATAGATTTCCAGTATGCAGCACGTTTAACCTTAAATATATAGAAGATCTCAATCACAAAGTGCTAATTACTTTTTCGAGGCAATAATTAAAAGTTTTCCCTTGATCGACATTTACACAACACAATTATGCGTATTATATTACTTTTGTATATTACTTACTAAATTTCTTTTTCATTTTAAAAATAAATTAACACATTTTATAAACCAATATTATGAATTAAAGAATAATTGGTAAATATAAACTTTCTTAATTACATAAATTTCCAATCTATCTATTTCAAAGTAAACAGTCATATGAATGCCCTTTATAAAGATCAACAATAAGTTACTAAAGCAATTCTTAAAATACTTTATTTGAAGAATTGTAAATTATACGAAGTTAGGATATTCCATCTGGAATGTTAAAAGAATTCGTATTATTACAGGATTTGATTGTATTAATTTAAAATGATGAGAATGCGAGATTAACAAAATGTGCAAGCAATTTTTTTATAATTATATAATATAATATTAGAAATTTCGAAACTAACATTTTCTTGTATCTTTTATATATCTTTAGCATATAAATTATTATTAAAAAGAATATACAATAATTTGGAATAAGAAACTCAAATGCAAAGCTAAATGAAATATTGATAATAGTTATAAAATAAAATAAAACTCTTTAAAATAAAATTCATGAAAATTCAATAATGGCAAATTTTTAAAATTCTTAAATAAAAGAAAATCTCTATGTTTACACGGGGTGTTTGAATCTTCCAGGAAATTTTTTCGCCCCACGTGACCTTGATAATTTGTCACCCGTGTCACACCCTCAAGTTTTCAATTTTTACTACATATTCCAGGACAGAGAATTTTTTCAGTTTAAAAACCTATTTGCCACACCATATTCGTCACATGGCTAATTTCATAATTTTGTAATGCCGGCCAGGGGTGAAAAAATTTTCTGGCGATACTGAGTGTTTGAACCTGTATCACGTGGGTGTTTGAATCCGTGTCATGTGTTTATAAAGCTTGATATTGTTTAATTTTGGGCATCCTTAACCTACACCAAAGTGTAGATGTTTAACCTGCGCTGGGGTGTACAATAAGTTTTAACGAATTTTATTGGATAAAAATTGATTGTGTAATATTATATAATTTATACTATTTTGTAAATAAAATTAATATTGTATTTACGCAACTGCTGCGATGAGAACATAAAATATTCGCAAACTTAAATTTCAAATAAAAATTCAAAAATTAGCACTTTTTTTTATTACAGTATAATAATTATTTAATCGTTATATACATATACGCCAAAATCTGCACTGTTTTTCATAATTTCTCTTGCTTCTTCTAATGATAAATTTACATTAAAATCTTGAACTATTTGTCTAATAATTGCCTCTAGAACTAATATTTCATATAAATAATTAATTGGTTTTAAAGGTTTGCTTATTTCAAATGTTAAAATATTTGTTTTTAAAACAAATTTGTCAAAACTTCCATGATGATTATTTCACCTTTAGAACCATAATATCCTGGCTGTAAAAATAAAAAAT